GTGGGAGGGGGGGGGGGGGAGGAGGAGATATTAATACGGCGTTCTCGAGCCGTGTGAGAATTTTCCCCCTTTGAAACTGAAAGACTTTTCAAATTCGCGTTTGAAAAATTAGGCTACCTAATTTAGGTACCCTACCTAACCGGGTGGCCCCTCAACACGCTCAACGATCAACGCCCGGTTTCACCAATAATACGACTATTCCTATTGGATAATTTTAACAAGTACAGATTTTTACGTCAATTTAAGTTTTAAAGACAAAAACTAGTGACCGAAAATCCATTTCAGCTCAAATTCGGGAAAAGTTTGGCCCAAAAGATTTATTTTACATCGCATCACTCACATTCTCGCCTCTATAAAAACCTGGCCGATTTCAAGCCATTATTTAATTTAGCACATCCTGGGACTCGTGGATCGAGCCAGCAACCTCGCGCGGTCACAGATAAAAAGCGATCGGTTATCGTTGCGAAGCCAGTTTGTGCTTTACTCGATAATTTCCTCGACAAGTCGACAATAGCGCTGCTCGGGATGAAAAATATTAAAGGAAAAGGTTTGCCGACCTATAGGGCCAGGTCAGCCCTCCGGGTACGGACCAGCAGTCGAGGCGACCCTCGAGGTCGCCGCGTAACCAACGGAGTCGCAGCGCCGACGTCGACTGCCTGAAAAAGTACATGGAGCGGAGGGTCGAGATGCGCCGCCACACGGAGGCTGGCGAGACCTCCCACTGGATACCCTTGACGACCAAGAGCCCCGTGCGACCCTACGTACCGACCAAGGATAACTCCTCGTCCTGTACCAACGGACCAGCCGGTGCTAAGGGCAGCCTCGCCTCCGCCACCGTCGCAATCAAAGAAGGTGAGCCCACGGCTAGCCTCGGCCTTATTTTGTACCCTAAAGGGCCGGGGCTCCATTATACGCAAAGTCGTTACATTTATTGCGCGTCGATAAAGTTTCGGGCTGCGTTAATTGTTGGAAATCGAGCGAAACAAACTGAACGAAGAACCAATTATCCCTGCAACTGCAACCCCATGAGTTTATTCATTAATTACAGAAAATTGCAAAATTATTCACGTATTGTTAAAGATTTAGTTGAATACGATTGTTGAACATTAAGAACTGCAACTATCAAACCCGATATTATCCAATATGATGTACAGTTTCAAAAGCTCTTTGTTTCTCTTTATTTTTTTTTTATTTTTTTTTTTTTTTTTTTTTTTTTTTTATACACACATTGCCTCTTAATAAACATTCGACCTTCAAATAATCGCCATAATAATAAAAGGATAAACGACGAGGGTATATGACATCCATGATAATTAACTCATTAGCTTCATTGAGTGAGGATTATTCTTTGTATGTACTACCACGTACAAAGTGACAACAGTTAAATATCCTAACTGAAAGGCAACTGCCAGCAGGCAAGGCTTACCAGTGTAATCCTGGAACGGATGGACCGTCGACACGACGATGCGCCTCCGATGAGCCGGAGGCCGTGCGCACAAAGTGGCCGCCGATCCTCAAACGCAGCAGTAATTTTAAATCGACGAACGAGGAAGAGACCGAGGACGAGCGCAAGGCCATTCGTCAGTCGGCGGGACGAAGCCTCAGCGCGGACGTGACTTACCTGCGCCGCGACTCCGCCTCCCGGTGGAACGAGCGCTACGTGAATTTCGCCGACCGGGCCAAGCTCGTGAGCGTAGCGCCGACATCCCGGTGCGCGGCCTCGTCCCTGCCGAGGCGCACCAGCGAGAGCGACGGGCTTCAGGGTCCGGGGAGCGCGAGGTGGGCCACCTACGCGAGGTATCCCTCGCCCGGCTCTTACCAGAGGAAGATGTCCGAAAGGTGCTTCGACGACTCGAAGCGAGCCTCGATCGCCGAGGCCATCGACGAGGACGCTGACGGCAGGGAGGAGGCCCAGCTGCCCAAGGATGTCGTCGGCTGCCAGCTCAAGTTGGATGAAGGACCGAAACGGCCCAGCATCCAAGGTCTGCTTCACCTGCATTTTATTGGATTTCAATGGATCCTTGTGTTGCTTGAACAACTTAAAATCAGGATCCATTCTCCATCGAGACAGATACTTTCGATTTTTTTTACTCCCCCTTTACTCGCCCTACACCCCCACCACCACCACCACCACTCCCCTCACGTAATAATGACTCGCCCACTATTTATCCCTTGAGCTGCCCTTGAGCTTCCTCGGCCTCCCGCTGACTTTCTCATTGCGAGTTCGCTATTATCCACGCGAACAACGAACTTCCCATTTGAACCAAACTAATGAGATGCCATTGCACTGCCTTTATGAGAGTAAACATCTCGTTAGAGTGTGATTAGCTGTAGAAAATTTTTATCTAAAATTGTGAGAGTAGTAAATTTTTAAATTTCGAGTTCGTACAATTATCCGCTGCTAAAAACAATCTTTTGCCTGAATTCTGTACAGCATCTTTAAAGGCACAATCTATACGAAGATAATACATTGCAAATATTTAAAAGCACGACAGAACAACATTCATCACGTTTATATACATTTATATAAAACTATAAATAAAATAGCTGAGTACCATAGTCCAATTGATCACCAATGATATTTACTTATAAATATGTGTGATAATGTTATAATATTTTTTTTTCTTTGATTATTTAAAATATTCAGTATTATGATTAACCAGTAATAATGTGTGTGTGTGTGTGTGTGTGACAAGTATTATCTTCGATTAAAGCATTCGTTAATTATCTAACTAATAAATAATCAAAACTTATATTGTTTTGTATTTAACTTGCTTTAACTCTTATAATGCAAAGTCCATAATTAATTTTCATAAATAATTAATAGACATATTGTATTCTTAATTTAAATTTCCAAATGAACTTTCATCGATATGCATGAGAAATTTAGAAGACATTAGTACTCATTTTATGTTGCATGGAAGAGAGAAAATAAAATATTACTAAATTTTTTAGCGTTATATTTATAAATGTTGAAAATTACTCCTGCATTTTGACTCGAAATTAATAAATAAACTTTGAAATATTATTCAAATTATATTACTCCAGGAAAATTGAGGAGGTAATTGAATTAGTTCATTTGACTATAAGCACATTTTCCATATTCCGAGGAGTATTAATATAAATAAAATAAACAAATTGACCATATATTGCGAATTCGTATTTCAATTTATCAATATCATTTTTAGCTATTAAATAGGTAAATATTTTATCGACAACTTCATAAAATGCTGGAGTATTTTAAAAAAAAAAGAAAAACATTATCATTCATCAAATATATCAGTTTATTTAAATCAATAAGTTCATCAACATTATTTTAACGTAATTTATATATTAAATATGATTGTACTATTATAATAAATTGTTCTTTCGATTTTTAGCGCACAAGTTCAATCTGTTAAAGTCCACTCAACTTTAACTTCAACTAACAACTTTGAAGATTTATATATATATATATATATATATATATATATATATATATATATATATATATATAAATAAAAATTTTACATTAGTAAGTCATTGTGGCCATCGTATTGTATCATCATGCAAAAATTCAATATTTAAATAAATTATATTCATATATTTTCAAACAAATTGTTAAATATAAAAATGACTTTTAAACTAATTATTACTGAAACATTAAAATCTGAATATTATAAGTGAAACGTCATAGTTTAGGGATATACAGATTATTAATGATACTATGCGCAAAGCAAAGCTTTTATATATAAAAATATTTTTCAAATCTATTATATTTCTTAAGTAAAAGAAACATAATAAAAAGATTTTGTTTTCTATTTATAACAGATTATTAATGTTTAATTTAATTTAAAATTATGAAATATTTAATGACACTTACGCACACTCGCTATATGTGCCTGACTCTACAAAGTTTATTTCTTGATTTTTTCGTTATTAATTCAATTATATGAAATATGAAAGTACCTTTGTATTATTTTTAAAAAAAATTTCTGTTATGAATATGCTTTACATATAAATGTTACTCATAAAATATTTAAATGTTCGAGGAATAAGGAAATGACTACTATACTTCTATTATGATTATAAAATAAAAATCTTGAAAGATGTTTGTTGTTAATGTTTTAGATTAAAAGCTTTACTGAACGATGTTTGTAGTTATAGATTTTAAACGAATTAAAAAATGTCCAGTCATCAAACTGATCATTCAGCACATTTTCTAATGTACATGAGACACTTAGTTATATGAATGTTATCTAATAAAATTTGTAAATACAATTATAAATTCTGTTTAATCATTAGTACCTTTAATTTATCCTGGATACTTTTATTTTTATTTTTAAACTATTGTCTGTTTTTTTTTTTTTTTTTTTTTTTTAATAGCATGCTCTGCTTCAACATTACATATTATAATATTTTTTTTAACGATGTGAAACTTTAATTCTAACGAACTAGAAAACGGTGCATGATTTATGATATTTACTAATACAAATGGTTAATCGATAAAAAAAATTTATTATAATCATCATTCGTATATTCAAGCCAATTAGATTGAATCTGTTGTAAAGTGTTTCGTAATAACATATGTATCTTATATTTAAAATATTTAACATTATAAATGCACTGCAATTATAATTACAAAATTACTGATATATAATAATATTAGTAGTCTTATAAATATAATGCTAATATGAAAAATTATCATGTAATGTTATTTAATTTTACTTATTGATAAAGAAGCCTAAAAAAACGAGTATGTATGTATGGTATGCAAATAAGTATTGATTACATTGATTACATGTTTATGACATTAATTAAAATTAAAACGATTTAAATTATTATTAATTTCCAATAGATTTCCATTCGTCATTATATTATATCGATAAATAAATAATATGAAAATGAAATTAATATCGATAAATCAAAAATATAATTGACTGATAATTTATATTATTAAATCAGTGAACTTAGCGGATGATTTATTTTGGAATATTGTAATGAGATAAAAAAAAAAAAAAAAAAAAATTAAGATAGATAATATTCACGTGCTTGTGTTGTTTTATAAAATATCTTTTTTTTCGATAGTGAAAAAGTAACATCCGGTATTACGAATTCTCCGAACCGTTCGCATTCCTCGTTTGCAACGATATTTATTTCTTTTATGTAAGACGTGGTCATGAGGTATTGGTCATAACTATTGAGAAAGCCTGCGACGAAGATATTAACAATAGAACTTACTTGATCTCTCAATCTAGGCAACTTAGAGCTAACCACCACCGATGTAAACAACGTGAACCAACGTCTACGCGAGCTCTACGACTTCAAAATCGAAACCGAATGGCCCAAACGAGTGCGCAAATCGTCTCACGAGAGTACTTGGATCAGCAAAAGTAGCATGGACAGCGACAAGAGTCAGCAACATCCTGAGTTCTTGGCAATCTTCGAGCGTCGCGACAATCATGATGTACAGCTTAACGATCGCAGTAATATCAAGGACAACGAAGCCATTCAGAAGCCCAGGACTCGACTTCTACCAGAATTACCAACAACTAGACGCGACTCCGTTAACGATCAGATCTTCAGGAGATCCAGCTTCATCGATAAGCTCGAGGTAGTCCGTCGGCGAACCTACTCGGACGATTACGAGAATTCGAATCGCAGAAAAAGTTTTGTCACCCTGCGAGACCTCAGATGGAATTCGCATTCCACTTCCAAGTCAAACTACATGGAAATTGAGTCCTTACACCATCCCACCAGGAGCGTAATCTCGTCTAATCAGCGAAGCCAGGAATCAAAATTCCTCTATGAAGCCGAGAGAAGTGGCGGCAGCTGCGAGGCTAGAAGGTATGACATGATCGAGGTTTCGCATAAAAGGAGCTTGAGTCATTACGAGCCCAAGATCAGGACTTCGCAACAACCGCCTGAAATCGACGATTTGTACAAGGATTTTAGTCCAGGCAATTTAAACGATAGATCGACTAATAGAAAATTATCGACTAATCATAGGAGAAATAGCATTTGGTACGACACCTACCATAATTAGATTACATTTATGCTTTGTACTGTTAACTGTTTAATTCGTAAATGTCCAAGCAGGAATTAGCAAAACTGCTCAAATAAGATGCCGTTCGACTGTTTACCTGATTTAATAATTCAATCACTCTTGGACTATTTATAACAGATGTCGATTTCAGATGAAATATTCTTAATTAACTTAATTACTTAATATTCGTCGTAGTTTATTGAACTTCCCAAGTGAATAAGAATTTGTTAACAACTGTTAAACTGCATAAATATAGAATCGTTTGAAGCTAATATTCGTTTTATCCAACATTTCAGTATATTTCAAAATTTTCTTTGACAAATATTTCTTTATAGCACCGAACTCGAAAGACAATCATAAATGTGCATAGATGTAATTTAATAAATTCCTTAATGCACTAATATATTAATAATAATTGATCATGTATCGATAATTTAAAAGTACTAAGATCAATATAACTTTATTGATTAAATTCAAATTTAGAATGAAATTTTTGTTTAAGCTCAAGAACTATTGATTGTAACATTTTAATGATTTAAGTTTTTGATTTTTGTGAATAATGAGAAATTTTCGTAAATTTCAGAAAAATTTTCTTTCCCAAGTGAAAATAATGATAATGTAAAAAGTATCACAACAAAGATTAAAACAAATATTAAAATTATAAATATTTGTATGGAAATGGCCGAGATGAAAGCCATCATCACCCTATTGAAAATGTTTAAAAAATATTATCCATGTTTAATATAATTATATTAATGTTTGATGTATTTGCATATAATAATCTAATAAAAAGCAATTTATGGATTCAATTAAAACGTCTTAATGGATAAAATACACGTGTTAAATTAAAAATAATACAATATTGACGAACTTGGTATTTACTTTGATTTTATTATTATGTTTTATTCGAAACATTTTCATGAAAACACGCAATACGCCGTTGAATATAAATTATTTACACTAATTCAAATGAAATTGACAATATTAAAATTCTACGAATAATATAAAACAACTTCCATTGCGTTGGCCTTGAGCAATTAAATTTTCCTAACACTTAGAAAAGACAAAAAAAAATAAAAAAAAAAAAAAACTAGGAAAAATAATCAACGTATTATATTATAAATCAGTGCATATATTGACAATTAATAAGAAAGAAATTGTATAAAAGGATATTAACAATATTAGTACGTATAGTTAAAAACCTTGATAAACGTTTAAAGAAAAAGGATAATATTTTGTTAATACAATCTATACACCAATTAACAATATGTTGCACGTAATTCGCCTCTTCAAATTATTTTATTCAATTTAACACTCGTCATTAATTTATCTTTATTAAGTGTTGTTGATATATCATATGTATTCATATCATATATTTTTAATTAGTAAAATAAAAACACTCTGAGCAACGCCTCATTGTAGTTAGTTGAATGTAAAAAGCGTGAACGTAAGCGTGAATTGAAAATTTGTATAAATACCATTAGTATATTATGTATTATTAGCAAAAGTGCTCGAAACTATAATGTCCGAGAGTGTTTTAATTTCCGTTAAAATTCAATAATCATTATATCATAGGATATAACAAAAATTTATTTTTAATTCGTAGATTTCAAAATTATATACAGTTGGCATATAACAAGAGAACTCCTACATGATTATCAAAGTCTCTATGTACAATTTAAAGTAGTGAAAATTGAGTTGAATTTTTATTTTGCGAAATTCTGCCAATTTAATCCTCCGTCTAAATCAATTTACATCTTAATACATAATTAATCTATTTTGATGTATTAACAAAATATAACTAGAACTTATTTATAAAGCATCTACTCATAAATATCAATGTTTATTCATCAGTGTCCAAGTTATAAGTGGATTTAGTCAATTTTAACACAACGGGAATATCATGAATATCGTCAGTTTGTTTTACTTGCACCAAATAACGAGAGTCCGCGCGTATAATCCATTACTTTGATCGCCGATGTGTTTGTCCCGAATGAATTTCCACCTCCCGACTAATACAGTCCACCATTGCCTTCAAATCCATTCATTTGCTGTTTTGATTCTTCTCCAATTCTAAGTTCGCCCTAAATCTTTACTGCTAAATTGCATCTTCAGCCTCTTTCTCGAGTTTATTAAGTGCGCTACCGGCGCTCCTCGGCTCGACAACTCTCTATTCTGCTGAACAATCTCGTCCTCGTCCCTCGCCTCGATTTTCATCCTCTTGGCTGGAATACAGCCGTTGCTGGCCGTATTCGAAGACAACGTCGATGGCGACGAGCTGGACGACACGTGATGATGACTCGTCTGCACAGCGACAGGGCCAGTCTTTGGCAAACTGGATTTTCCGTTGTTTGGTCGCGCGACGACGAGGCCATTTCTCAATTGCTGTGGATGCGAATGATGATGATGATGCTGCTGCTGCTGAGCAATGTTGTAATGCAAGGCCGGGGATGCACCACTGGCGGCTGATAGCACATGACTCTTACCGCCGACTGAACTCGACGTAGCGATCATAAGTAAATTGCCGCGATTTTTATCGCAGCTGCTCGAGTTTGAGTTATTGGGGAACTGAGTGTGTCGCAAATTCGATAGATTGCTGCGCTTGCAGTTGCTCTCTTGTTTGAGACAAGCGAAGGCCGCCTTAGCTTGGTAAATCGTTGTCGACATATTGTGTTGGTTCGTCAAGATAATTGTCTGTTGTTGTTGTTGTTGTTGTTGTTGTTGTTGTTGTTGTTGTTGCTGTTGCTGTTGTTGTTGCTGCTGCTGATTCTGTTGCTGCTGCTGCTGCTGCTGCTGCTGATACTGTTGCTGATACTGCTGGGGCTCAGACTTGATTTGCACGTCTTGTGATAACATCAAGCCATTACGAGCCTGAGACTTTTGCCAATCTAGAACGCTGCTCAGCAGGCGGATGTATCTGTAGAAACGTCGATTCTTAGTTTCGAATGAATTGACAAAAGAACGATTATAAATTGACGAGGGCTGTGTCAAATTTTGTCAAGCAAAATTTCCTACATTTAAAAAATAAGCCGAACTAACTTTTACAGTTATAAATTCCTTAAGCTACGAATTTAAAAATTTTCATAATAATATAATTGCAGTGATGACAATGATGCGAAATCATCTCGACCGATTAAATGACACGGAGTATGAAAAAGATATATATATATATAATTCTAAATTGGCAATTATAATTATTCTCCCTTTATATGCTACTGATAATTATAAATATTGTCATCGATTACTTAAATTTCTTTTTTTTTTTTTTTTTTTTTTTTTTTGTTTTTTTTTTGTTTTTTTTTTTTTATCATTATTATTATTTTTAAATCTACAAACGTTCCGCAAGTATTCGATAAAATTTCTAAATATTGATAAATATCATTTTATACTTTGTTCGTTATACACTTACCGTATCGCCATTCGAAGAATTTCATTTTTCGACAACTTTTTATCCGGAGGATGTGTGGGAACGAGTTTTCTCAATTCTGCAAAAGCACCGCTTACATTTTGTTGCCTCCATCGCTCCCGGCTGTTAGTAAATAATTTTCTAACCCCGACACCTCCTACCCGGGAAGTCGGCGACTCCAAAGGACCATTTGTCGATGAAGATACTCCATCTATCTGTACCAAGTTCATCCTCTTTTTGATAAGTACATATATATATATATATATATATATATATATATAATACAAGTACGTGAATATGAAAATATAGATTAGATTTTCAATAATACGCGATTATTGTTAAATGGTTGGTAAAAAAATCTACTATTACAATTTTAAAAAGTTCGGCTTTATTTCCAACGGCAGTAATAATAATATTAAGTATTAAAGTAAATAATATTTAATTATAAGAAAAAGTATACAACTTACGGAATTGGCACGATCTCGTTTTCTTCTACCCTGTTCGTCGTCTTCATCGGTGTCGTGTGAATAAAATTCATCGGACAGTGTAGCTTCTTCTTCGGTATCTCTTGGTGTTTCTGGCGAATCGCCCGGTTCTTCCATAAGCTCACCTTCACCCGAAAGAAGAGAATCCGCTGGCGAGCCATTTTCATTTTCCGACGTACCAAAACTTGTATTATTCGACATTAACATGGGCTGGATAAATAGTAATAATACATCACTATTATTTCATGTGTTGTAAATCACAAATTACATTATGTTCATATGTTTGATTAAAAAAAAAGGAAGAAAAAAAAAAAGAAAAGAAAAGAAAAAAACGATGTACGAAGTAACGAACTCTGTCGATGTCTGTGTGCATAAAACTAATACACGATCAAATGTAAATTATATGAAATATTGTATATGATTAAATTAAAAAAAAAATTTTTTACACGAAACTTTATCTTAATAAATATTTATTCAACGTATTATATCAATGGGCTTTCCACTTGTACATTGAATTAAAATTAATGTGAAATATTTTAAAAAGACTTTATTTATGTCCGATCAAATGGGCTTTCAATTATTTATGCATTTATTCATGATTAATTGTATTTTCGTAACAATATCAAACTGCGAAACATCAGTTATTTAACAAAGTGTAATTGATTTAGAGTAACATTATTCGTCGTATATTTGCGTCGTAATGGTACGTTGTTCCTCGACACAAAGACATATATAAAATCATAAAATATTCGAAAAATATTTTGAAAAAGTCAACTGGAATATTCTCATTTTTATTTTTAATCTCAATTGGCAAATGGATAGAAACGAAGAAAATAAGAAAACGGAAATAGATAAAACTCATCAACGACGCTGCCCCTGACATTCATTAGATAACAGTTGTTTACTGATATTATAATATCGCAAATGCTTTAATGAAAACATTCTATTCAGTTAAATAAAAGAGTTATTCCCAAGATTATAATAGTTATAATAATATCTCTCTTAGTGCCCAATCTCGAAAGAATGAAATAGAATAATTGGACCTTCAAATAGTCACTCAACACATTTATTATTCGCAACCGCATTGAAATTATTATTTGCAAACACTTAAATTAAACTATTTTACGAATACGAAACTTCACGAATAAAAAATTGCAGAATTTTCGTAGTGCGTGCGTGTAGTGCGTTAATTAACTAGATGCATTGTACTCTGAATAGAGAAAAGAAAAATTCATATTCTTAAAAGCCATAAGCTTATCACATTTATAATACATCGATTGCAAGCCCAATGGTAATAAGGTAAATACTTGAACGAAATATCAATAGCCGCAAGCATATTTACAACCAAATATACAGCCGAGGTATCGATAATTCTTCTATAAACACTAGTTGCTACTCGCGAGTCCTTTCTCCACATTTAAAATGAATGTTCGCGTCTCGTTACGCAGCCCTCGACGTAATCTCGCGACAAACTCCCCGACAAAGCTCAAAAATAAATGACGAATACCATTGTTGCGATTGTGCCGAGATTGGTGCAGTACGAGACGAGTGACACGTCACTACACGCGGTCGGAACATTCACTGATCGAAGGATGAAAAAATAAGCGACAGCCCGCTAGGATTTCGAGACGCTTAACTGAGAACGTCGGGTGCCCGGGTGCCGGCGAAAATCAACGAGGGCGGAGCGGCCGCGAGCAAGTGGGTGGAGCCCCGCGCCATTGGCTGGACGAGCGCAGCGCTTCTAGGAAATCGATGTATCGCACCCCAGGACACAGGGATCGTCCCTCGGGAGCCGACGCTGGTCAGCAGCGTCCGAGAATTCCGGGATACCGATGGACGAGGTCGCGGCTTCGTGCGTCGATGGCTTCAGTGACTGCGCGACCAACTCCCAACTGCGTTTTAACAGACACTGATAAGCTTCATGGGGAAGCTTCATTCATGGAGGGCACTGTTGATAAGACACTTTTGTTCCTCAAAATCGAACTTCCCAGCGAATGATAATAAGCCCGAGGCGATCATACATGTACCGAGGAGCAACACCGTTAAAAGTCGCTGAGCTGAGTGACATTTGTTAGATGAAACGGCATTTTTCAAGCAACGCGCTCAAGAAATTATCGAGCTCCTTTTCAATCCCAAAGTCGCCAATCCGCCATTGATACAATTACGCACATTCCTAGCAATTTATTGTCTTATTAAAGTGCAACACAAGTAGCAAAGCTTGATATACTATACGGAGGAAATTAATTGATTTATTTATTATGTGAATTAACGAATGGGAAGTCGGTATCGAGGATTTGAAATGTGAATTTTGTAACGTAGACTGATTGTTGTAATGAAATGTCAACATTTACGTTAATATTATTTTTTATTACAAACGTTACACACGATTGGCATTTCAAAAATTTATAATCGTGCATTCTCCGTGGTCGCGACACCATTAGATAACAATTTACGATGTGTATAATATGGCAAAAAAGAACGAAAAAAAAAAGAAAAAAAATCGTATAAGCATAGAAACGGAACATCGATCGATCGATGAATCAATGTAAAAAATCAAGTTTACTGAATTGTTGACAATGCTATTTAATAATTAGCGATGCGATATGTTTAATTTTATGTGTATGTAAGAACTTATTCAATTATCTCGTTAATACTACGAAATGGTCTCTTACTTGTTCAATCGATCACAAAAAATTTAAGTTATGCAGCTTAAAGTTATAATGATAAGAATTTGTATAATTGAGCATTTAAGATATTTCTGGCTATGAAATTTTATTTTTATTGCGTGAATAAATTTTAAATTACTGTTTTTATGAAAATTGAAACTATATGGTGTATTTCGTATTTTGGTCTTTTCTTATGCATATTATTTGCCCTTCTATTGTCATTGTTTGTAATACAGAAAATAACTCGATACATGATACGTGAAAGAATTCAGCTAATTGTAAAATTAATCGAATGAAATAAAATTTCACTCAATGTTTGCTTAATATTCTATTTCATTACTTCTATGTGATATTTTATAATATAAAGATGTTGAATGGAGCAAATTCAAAATCTTATCTATTCATATAATTGTTCTATCGTGATTATACTAATAATAATAATAATAATAATAATAATATAATCGAATACTTCTAATTAATTATTTATATTTTTAAGCTGAAATTATTTAAGAAAAAGTGATATTATAAATTCCTACGTACTTATTGGACTTTCATTCCTTACAAAGAAAGCTGATCTTATCAAGAATAAATTAAATATAATTGGACAGTAAGCCTTTCTGTTATTTTAATGTAAAGAAACAAATCTTGGAGCCTTGCAAAGTCATTCTCTATTCTTAATCCAATAATCTTAACAAGGAAACCTTGAAAAGATTAATCCCTTGTTTCTGCAATGTACCTGCAGCCATATAATTACAATTCGTATCATTAAATTAATTGAGATTTTCGTGAATATTGAAACAATATTATCGATTGCTTAGTATGAAAATTTTTATTTAAATTTTTATTAAATAAGTTATATTAAAAGAAAAAGAAAGAAAGTAAAGAAAGAAAGTAAAGAAAGAAAGAAAGAAAGAAAGAAAGTAAAGAAAGAAAGTAAAGAAAGAAAGAAAGAAAGAAAAGAAAGAAAGTAAAGAAAGAAAGAAAGAAAGAAAGAAAGTAAAGAAAGAAAGTAAAGAAAGAAAGAAAGAAAGAAAGAAAGTAAAGAAAGAAAGTAAAGAAAGAAAGAAAGAAAAGAAAGAAAAAAAGAAAAAAATGAAATGTTTACATAAAAGGAGAAGATAGGGTGAGAAAAAAATAAATTAACATCCAACGTGAAATTCAATATGGTAATAAGAAAATGCATGCATCTCTTATAAAGAGCTTATTATCGATCATTGGCAGCTTAAAAATTCACGTAAGTATGCTTATGAATTAATTGGCAGGCTGTGCTGTATTGACGATAATTTAGCCAATAATTCACTTTCCCGTCCGAATGAGATTGAACTTTCCCCGCGCAAAATCAAATCGCCCGTACGTGGTTTGAGCAAACCAGTCGAGGACCGAAATTAAAAAAAAAACTTGCGACTAGTCCCCTCCGCCCTGCCTAGTCAAATATTCATTAGGGGAGAGATAGAGAGAGAGAGAGAGAGAGAGAGAGAGAGAGAGAGGGAGAAATTGATATCCATCACCTCGTCGTAAAGTGACCGCATATGGCCACGTGTTTGCTTTATTATGACACTCGAATTAGGGCATCGGCACGAGGATGACTTTCTAGGGGTGTCATCGCTCGAATGGCCACCCAATTGTATCGCCGATAAACTTCCACGGCTACTTATTAGACAATCTGCGTGGGAGAGGCTGCGCAATCAGATTTTGCCTTTTAACAACGTTGGTGCGCGTGTGCGATGTCAGGAGCGTCGATCTTGATTGCGACGATACAATATCCATTCTAAAATGCTCATCTCGTTTGACATTTTATAATTGTCGCGCATTCTATATAAAAGTCGTGCCGATAATGCATCTCATTGTAAACAAAGATATTTATGGATGATTAAGCTTCAAATGACTTGATATTCCAATGTATAATTTAGCGATTTATTCAAGCGTACCCTTCCTCCATTTAACAATGAGGTTTATTCAAAATTGCTAGAATTACTAATGATTATGCATTAAGATGTTGACGATGAGTTCGGAGAACGAGGCGTTATAACGAAAGTATGCGTTTTAAAAGTCACTCGACCACAACTTTTCAAACATGCTCGTTGTAGCAAAATCTACGTTAATAAAATTATAATATAATGTTATAATACGATCCTTTCATAATGCACATTGCGATCATTTTACATCAACTGACTTACTTTTAGGCATTGATTGCATACAATGATGATTCGAGCCATTCGTATAGAGTTAAAAATTATACACCATCTCGGCTAAATTAACGAAAAATGCAGTTTAATATGTTAAACGAAAAATTTTCGTAGATTTTATGAAGGCGGTATGGTTCCCAGTGGCAAGCCACTATTAAAGCGATTAAAACGTCGAAATTTAAAAGTAAATGGAAAGAGTACTAATGCTCGGACGAGCGAGGGAAGATTTTTAAAGATTTTTACAAAGAGTGAGAGCGTATTGTGATGGAAACCTAATTGTGCTTTAAGCCGAAGACTATTTTCACTTCCCCACCTCGTATCACGGCACATTGTTATCCTCGTCTACGTATAAGCCAATACGAAGGGCGTCAAAAAATTCACTCCATTCCCCTCCCCCTCCTCACCTCACCGCACTCTCACCCCTTAGCAGCCCCTTTTTTATTTCACGTACCGCGTGGTCCAATCTGCGATATGTGAATTATTAATTTTCTCCCTTTGACTATTTCTTTTTTTTTTTTTTTTTTTTTTTCAACGTCCAAACTGACCAAAAAAAAGTCGATAAACGTAACGGAGCCGTTAGGGATTGATGCTCTCGATGCTCCCCAAAATTGGTCGATGCTTTTCCCACACAAAGCAACCGCAGCCTCGGTCGTGAGGATGAATAAATTTTTGGATTCGAGCCGCGCGCTCCGCCACAAACTACATGTGCTCGACACGTGCTGGAAATTCGAAAAATCACTTTGCCCTATAATCGTTATGCGCAAGCGATAAAGCAAATAACTTGATAATGGCAAATTACTGCTTAATGTTCTTTTCTTTCTCTTCTGACCCATAGAGTCACTTTGGCTTTCATTGCTTGTATTTTGTATTTCTTAACGCCCTTCCGTGAATAGTAGGTTAATTTTTTTATTAGTATCCTTTCGATGAAGGATCGATAATTTCATTTCTCTCGCTCATTATCGTCGTTTCAAAAACATTTATCAAATTCAATAAACTCCCCCGAATTAATCAATATCTTATATTTACTTCCACTCTAAATACTACATTATTTGCATTAAATTAATACTATGTATGTATGTGTATATATGTGTGTGTGTGTGTGTGTGTGTGTGTGTGTGTGTGTGTGTGTGTGTGTGTGTGTGTGTGTGTGAAATTACTTGACTAAATTGCAAGCTATTATGGTCGCTGGCGTTTCTCATAATCTATATTTACACTCTCACTCGTAGCCATTTAAAGTCGAGTATAATGGAATAGTCGAGAGAGCAGACAAATTTTACAAAGTATTCTTTTCAATAATCGAAAGCTTTGTCAATTTTAGTGCCTCTTGCCCCTTGAGCTCGTGTACTCGACAACGACCCTAAGAAAGATTTCGGGCAAACTGCTCCTGCAAACGGAGCTCGCGCACACGCGAAAGTGCAAAAAGTCTACTCGGCCGATTTCCGACACCTACGCTCGCGAACGAAAAGGCCTTCGATAAGCGCTTGGAGAGAGCATGCGACTGCGCCTCGTGAAAGCCAGTCGCCGAGCTTATAAATGGGGGGGGGGGCGCGTGTGCTCAATGTCGGTTGAAAATCAGCGATATTGTAAGGGCGCCGATGCGGAAACGTGGCAGTACGCTCGAGCGGGACATCGTGCGAATGAAGGGTGGGTCGAAGTGACGAGGAGGCGTGTCGAGCGACTGTGCCCAGTGTCCCATGAACGTCAAATCGCTCGGCAGGCTGAATCAATCGCACTCGGAACAGTTTAGCCGTTGGAAATGCTGGGGCATCGGTGGCCGACGTCGTCGAGAGGTGGAGACGGAGCCGTCTCCTCGTTTCCATCGTTCGCGTCGCTGTCGTTCACTCGTGGAGAGTCACCGAGTGAACCGACGCGAGCCATCGTATACGGAGAGAGAAGAGTGTGGAGGAGGCGAGAGAGGGAGGAAGAGATTGAAGGAGATGAACGATTTTTGGACGCGCGAACTAGAGTGGGAAGGAGCTGGGGAATGGGCTGGAGGAAGGGATGTCGGTGAGTGAGCAGAGGGAGAAATCAATTTTCCTTATCACTGCTGAGCAGCCGTCCCATATTAATTCCTTTATTAGTGTTTACTCTTCACGTTGCTCCATACGTCCCAAGAGATTGTCCATTGTATTAGGTGACTGTAATATTGTTTTATACATTGTTTTTGCGCGCATTATTGTATCGCGCGTATTGCGATGTCGATGTACGATGCGCAACTACAAGTTTTACATTGGCGAAATATTGGCAATAAATGAAAAAAGTAACTTTTATGTGCCCCCCCCCTCCCTCCTCCTCCTCCCTCCTCTCTGCCACTCAACCATCAACTTGACCAGTGCCTATGGGTCTTTGATTCTATTTATTTACCAACTTGTTTGCCAGTGGATGATAGCACTTATCGCCATAATGACAAATTACGGCTCGTCGAATCTCGCTTCAGTCGTCGCCCCTTCTCGGAAATTCTTTATATCGCACATACCGAGGGCACTGCTCAACAATGCTTGCTTTATCCAGTCGATATCGGGGCTCGGGCATCTAACTCCTCGAGAGACCGGACGGCGTCGGTATTTCCGATTTCAAGGACTCCCGAGAACGGCCGGCAGGTATTCGAGAAACTCTTGGGAGACGACACCGTGTAGCCGTTGAAGTCGAAAGCTCCGAGTGTTTTCAGCTGATAAGGGGTTACGCTCCGCCTTCGAGGGCGGAGGCGATGCGCATGTAATCGCGGCATGAAAAATTAATCTCCAGGACGAACTTCCTACAAATCGGCCAGCAGATTACCTTCTTTTTTTTTTTGTTTTTTGTTTTTTTTTGTTTTTTTAATTGCTTGGTAAGTGAAAAGGGATTGTGAAGGCGTTTCTTATGATAATACTTTTGTTGTTGTTTCGGACAGTCGGCTGGGCCTTATCCATTAGCGACACGTCGTATGCTCGTCATCATTCACTCGCCCGTTCGAGCTTACGTGTCAACTATTCAACGACTTTAACAATACAAAATATCTTAAACCTTTGATACGTGTCAAATGCTAATAGTTCGTAAGTCCATTACTTAAGTCCGTGAGTTTACCTTTTTCATTTCTTCATTTTAACAATTAATGTTTATCATTTCTATAAGAGGATCGCTCGTATATAATAATAATTATATTAAATTTTATTGTTATAAATTTGTGTAGCTATATAAAAAATAACGAATTTACCATCACGATTGATGTATATTATAAACGTTTGATGTACTTATTTGACAATATAACTTCTTTCGAGGATAGAAGTAAACGACAAGGATAATTTTATTGCCGCAATATTCAATTATTACATATAATTTTAATGATTATTTGACTATAGGATATTCTGATAATATTAGGATGAGAACAAAATGAAGGAAGAAGATTGGTTTAGAATGCTTAAGAACTTTCCTTCGGCTTAAACAATCGTAACACTAACTTTCGCAAATCTCGGCAATATAGCATTTACGCGTTATAATAAAAATCATTAATTTCGAATTAACATATAATTTTATTAAGTAAGTCGATTAAATTTTGTATTTACAAATAAAATTTTGTACTTAACATAATACGTAATATTACAAACGAATCCCAAGTAATAACTACAAATTAAAAGCACATAATAACATAAGACAATAATTGTACAAAATCTATTATTATATTTATTTATGCAGTTAAAAGACAGTTTTAAGACACTTATATTAATATGTACATTTATTTACATAAAAATAACAATTTTCTAATAATTTAATTAGGATGTAGATAATAAAACATATTATAAATCCTCTAAAATTATAAATACTTGCTTTTTACGTTCCATTAATTGTCTTTGTATCTCTGTATTAAAATCGGCTAATATTACATAAATATTACATATTCAAACTGGTCAGCCTAAATCTATATACACATAACCGTAGAATTTTTATAAATAATATTTTCAGTGAAATTGCCAATTGATTTCGATGCATTGATAATACGACCAAAATCTTTATGAAATAATATTTAATAATTAGTAAAATGACTCGATAAGTATCACAAAATTCGAATTGATATATATATATATTTTTTTTTTTTTTTTTTTTTTTTTTTTTTTTTTTTTTTTTTTTTTTTTTTTTTAATTAATATTATAAAACTAACTATCAGGAATTTATAAAGGCACAATAGTAATATTCAAATTTATTTATTCAATGAGTTGAATAAATCTATGAAAATCATTAAGTCGCGCAAATAAATAAAATCTCAATTGCTTAACGGATTGTAAGGAAATACATGCTTGTACGTACGACTGAGTCGGCTGTATTATTTTATCGTATATCGTGTAACATTACTTGCTCTATTCCACTTAAAGTTAAACTTAAATCTTAAACTTTTGTTCTTATTAGTAGTATATAACAATAAGCCAGTCCCCTCTGGCTTTCGACATTAAATTCCATCAAATTATTTGCATAAATAATTTATATAAATAATCACAAGCGCGTAAATACAACTGTTAGCATACATTAATACGAAATTTCATTCGGCATTTTTCTAATTCATACTCAGATGATAAACAGTCTTTACAAAAGTTCAAAGTATATTGATGATTTTTGTGCTCCCAACGTGCACTTGAAATTAATATTTAATAACTAAATATACTATAAGACAAACTTATCTACACTAGTTTTCACTTTTGTTTTCGTTTCTTTTTCTATTTCTTTTTTCTTTTAATTATATATTGTACAGTCGTTGTAATTAAGTCCATCATCACTGGTAGAAAATTTAAAAGTTAAGCCAAACGAACGTTTGCTAATATACCGTTGCCATCTATTTTAATAAATTCTACATTTATCTTTAAAAATGTTTTAAATAAAATCACATAACAATTTTATTAATAAGTAGTAATATAATGAAATACTCCGGTATTTATCGACTAATAAAGTTAAGAGAAAAAAAACAGCTTATAGCCCCTATTATTACGTACTATCAAAACAAAAACAAAACAAAAATAAACAAAAAAAGCTTCTTCAGTTATTTATAATATATACAAAATATTTTTCTATCTATTCTTAACGTCTCTAAAATTGAAAAATTCTCTCCTCTATAAGAGCAAGTATATTCTTATTCGTTATAAAAAAAAATAAAATAATAAAAAAAAAAGAAAAAAAACTCTTTAATATCTTTAAACTTATTTTAAATTTATTTAAACTTTATTTAATATCTTTTTATAATGAGTCGATTCATCTATGTTACAAAATACTACTAATTCTTTCAAATTACTAGAAACAGAATGATAATTCATTCCTCTCGCTCATCTCTCCCATTAAAATGTCTATGAAAAGTAAAACCATAGTACTTTTCATAAAAAAAAAAAAAAAAAAAAAAAAAAAAAAAAAAAAAATACGCCGAAGCTTCCCATTCAACACTTAACAATAATTCAACATCCCAAGCGATAAATAAGATATGACATATCTCGCGGTCAATAAAAAGCGAACATTAAAATAAGAAGCGGCACAGCCATTGTGCAGATGAGGTAGACGGCGGTCCTCGGCTCACAGGTCGATATGACGATGAACTCCTCGTTCCACTGGGACTCGTTGCTGCCGACCGGAAGCTCGAGGACCGCTCGCTCGTTGCTGAAAAAGCGAATTGGCAGGGAACATTCGCTCGTGATGTTTTTACACTCGAACACAGGATCCGACGTATCGTACGTTGTCTTGAGCAGCTCGAACTTAATTCGCAAGTAATTCGGCTGGATCTCGTTTTCCGAGCTGAACACGAAGAAATAGTAACCGTCCATTGGTACTCTGTAACGTAAGATTATGAAGGATAAAAATTTTGATATTGCCAGCTCTGGATTATCATGGCTGACGTTAATATATGTGCAGAAAATTGTGCTGCGTGCGAATACTCGATTTTGACGTGAAAGTCTGTCGCCCGAATGAATAAAGAAATAATAGTCGAACGTATTAATCGCGGACAATTAATAATCTATATTTTTGATTATCAATAAAATGTTAAATTGCTTCGAAGACGCTTATCTTGATGCTCAACGGATACAAATGTACTAGGACACCTTGCTTTCTTACCTATTTCTACTGTCCTTTCTTCCTCCTCCTCCTCCTCCTCCTCCTCCTCCACCACCACCACCACCACCACCACCACCACCACCACCACCACCTCCTCCTCCTCCTCCTCGTACGCCTTCTACCCGCATGCGACGACCACCCCTCTCCAACCCATCCTATCACTCTCAAACATGTATATACGTGAATGCACAATACGTGTTACAATTTCGTATAAGCTACTTTTATTAAGATGGAGGGGTTAATTAAAGTAATATTTCATACCTATATGTTATTGTATTAGCAACCGCAGCCGTGGTATGGTAGTGTTCAAACCTTGATTCGCAAAATCGATGAGGCGTTAAAGGAAGATTCAATATCAAACCCTTACATTCTAGTAATCTCTCTTCGGAACTACTAAATGAACTCCAGAACTCGGAATTACTACGATCGTTCAAGGTATTTTCAGTAACCGTGCCACGATCTTCTGCAATTCCATCTGGATGAAGTAATTCCTATGGAAATAAATACCGAGCATTATGCGGAACATTTGACGTATGAAAGTTTTCTCGAGAGTATACTTTTCGCCGCTTTATTATATCAAAGTAACAGCGTTAATACGAATGTTTATTATTTAGTCGAATGTCTATCGATGAATTTCGAATAATGCAAATGAGATTTTCCGGACGTAGATGACATCATTATCGTTACAACCACAAAAAAAAAAATAAAAGAAGAAGAAGAAGAAGATATGCATATATATGTAATTCGATTATAATAAAAATTCCATTAATTAGCTTGAAAAGTATGGACTTCTATTCTAAGCATCGAACCAATGGCTTACAAAACGCCAAATTCTCGCGACATTACATAAAAATAAGCTCATTGCAAAATACATTATTACTAAAGTCCACTCGCGTCATTTATATTTATAAAAATTTATCTTAATAAGATGGTTATATAATGCGTATGTAAGGGAAAACGATCTCCTTAAAAACTTAAGAACCTTAATTAATAAAGCCATATAACTTGAGATATTAAATGCAACGTAACAATATTGTCGAAAGTAATGTTCGATACTTTGTCTCTTCGAAACTTTTCTTTAATCACTTAATTGTAACTAACCTCTTCGATTGCAGCATCGTTATCCTCGTCATCCTTCGACAATCCAGCACTCAATGGCGACGATAAAAAGAGATCTCTCTTTTCTCTTTCTTGTTCCTTGTAGGCAACTTCATTTATGACTTTCTCTAACCGCCTTTTGCTCTCAAGATCCTTCACATTGATTTTTTCTACTAATTTAGCCAATACTTTTTTCGCTCCATCGCCCAGCCCTTGCAATTTCTCTAGTAAATCTTCAAACACATCTTCGGTCGATGAACTTATTGTCGAGCTCACTTTCGTTATTGGCCTGACGAATGACTCTTTTGTATTTATTTCTTCAGTGGCACGCGATACCGCTGGAAACAATAAAGTTATACCAATATTTTTTACTACTACGGTCTTTATACAATTTACGGAGTAGTTAGCGTCCCTCTCAATTAATGTTAACATGACAAATTTCAACAACAAAATTTTATTTTGAAATAGCTCTTGCGTCACTCTCGGCTACATCACATCCATTTACAATTCTTTACGTAGCAAAATATTCCGCGATAAAGCATCGCGGAACAGTCGTCTATGTAAAATGAACGATCATAGCCAGCAACGGGAAGTAAAGAGATACGGGCACGCTCACCTGGAAGAGTATGTAACTTCTTCGCCATCTGACGACCAAGATCCACGCGTTCAAGGTCGCCTTCGGTTGCTGACATCACGGGCTTATCAAACGACAAGAGCTCCTGCCTAATGAATTCTGCGTCATCGAAAATAGGCGGCTTATCGATATTTCCGCTTTCCTTGAATACCCTATCGTAGTGATGCCGTAGATTGCTAAGCGCATCCTTCTGCAACTTCTTCGTATCGAGAGTCTTGACGAAGAGTTGCGTGAGAATGGCACGCATGTCCTTGGCGTCCAATTCGTGGCTCGTAAGCTGCTGTTGCTGCTGCTGCTGCTGCTGCTGCTGCTGCTGCTGCTGCTGCTGCTGCTGCTGCTGCTGCTGCTGCTGCTGCTGCTGATGATGATGATGATAATTATGTCGCTGCTGTTCCACCTCCTTCTGCCGAAACTGCTCCTGTCGCAGATGTTGCTGCCTCGTGGAAAAGGAGTCGACGGTGTCGTTGAGCTTCTGGTGAAAATGGACATTCTGATTGACGCGCTTCATCCGCGAGGGTTCGTTGATCGGACTACTGTTGTTCTGAAACATGCGACCGTCGCTCTTTAATTGGCAGGTAGGTTTATCGTGACCGTGCATATCAATCAGTTTTCTTTCCGTTTAATGGCTTTTATTTGTAAAATTTTACGTAAGTGGAGAATCACTTGGGATAACATCGTAGATTTTAAAAGTATGAAAGTAAATTCACATGCAAGAGGGCATTTAGTTTTTCGTAATGAACTAACGAAACAAACAAGTAGATCAAAGTCAATTGATCGATAAATTTATTAAATAGGTTCGTTTAATCGCTGAAGCTATGCTATTAATAGGTTTTAAAATTATTTCAACCCATAGTATATATTATATGCTTCTTTTCTGCCTGAATACATTTTTCATATTTTTATTTCGCATCTTATAAACAATTAAACTTTAAACGAACTTTTTAACAGATAAAAATTTCGTTATTAATTAATAAAAATTATTAGTACTTAATTGTAATATAAACTTATAAATGCGAGCAATTCCCCCATACATACTTAAGTATAATGAATTAACAATAGAAATGATAATAATAATAATAATAATAATAATAATAATAATAATAATAATAATATGTATTTAGCTTAACATACGACAATAAACTTTCGTTGCATTTGAAGGATAAAGCGCAATGCGAATAATTACAAATATACGTTTGAAATTATGTATATGTAGAATGAAAATAACTTCTGACAAGACGCGGCGATACCGCGATAACTAATATATCTTACCAATGCAGAACCATAAGGTTAGGTTACATTGATTAAGCATACATTTATGTATAAAGTATATACATAGAAATATTGTTTTTCTTCATGTATTGTACTACTATTTAGAATCTAGATATACGTAAGTGTAGATATATGCCCGTATAAGGAAATAAAAAAGAAATAAACAACTACGATATTTACTCTCGTAGATCTAGAACACACGGATACCAGCATGAGGTAATCAATGCAAACATACTTTTTTTTATATTAATTTCGCGGATATTGTGCATAAAAGTTCCATCTTTGTGCATGCCTTTATGCATATAAAAATTCCTTTTAATAAATTAATCAAGACTCTAAGCCGAAGCAATATCTGTCATTATGTCTAGGAAATGATTATTAATGCTGTATTCTTGAAAATAATGTATTAACAATTGCAAAATAAAACAAAAAAAAAAAAAAACAAAAAAATATTTGTTTTTTTTTTGAAAATTTAAATGATTATAAATTATTTAAATATATCCGATAATCAAAAGGAATATCTGGCTTTAATGAAAAATACGTTTAATGAACCACAAATATTAAATTTATTACTACTCTCTAAGTATATTACTAGCATAAAAAAAGTTTTGAAGAATAATAATTATTTTAATACAAATGCTGATTTGAATGGATTATTTCTATTTTGTGATTATAAATTGAATTTCATTACTATTTAAATTTATAATAATTATGATAAAATCATATCATAAGATTTTCTGCAAAACTAGAAACCCAGACTGAACTAGATATTTGAACTTCAATTGAATTCAACTTTACTTCTCTTTCAGAATATATAAATATATAATATATATATATATATATATATATTACTTAAGTAAATTTTAATCACATAAATATTTATATTAATAATAACCGTCCAGTAATTGAAAAATAATGTCAACAAAGATACATTATTGCACCTTGTGCAATTCGCCCGTTAATTTAAGCCAAGTATACAAGGATCTTATAACAATCGTTGCAATTATACATTTATATATGTGAAAAGCGATAGATATAAAAATAAAGTAAAGAAAATTGATGATTAATCGATTATAATGGTATTTGAGAGAATATATTGAAAGAATTGATGTATAGTATCTCCATAAAAAGTGTTTAATGAAACGTCGCATATTCTTTGAGAAAATGCACGGCGTCAAAATTATCATTCTTACTGTATTTCTATCACTAAAGGTCTGCAGTAAACCGCGCTCCTGCGCGACCTCGATGAGCTCTTCGAGTTCCTCGCTACTATCGTCACCGATAAAGGCACACTCGTGCAGATGCTTATGGCCACGAATCATGGTGAGAGAAGCACCTGGCCATCTAAACAGAGCAAACATTTAAAATTAATAGAGACTTATAAAATGTTAATAATAAACGTGATAGTTGCTTAATATTTGCCATAATTGACTCTGACATAAGACACAAGACTTTGCAAAATTGTCCCTACCGACTCTTCGATTAGACATTAAATACAATGATAATTTTAATGCAATAATTTTTAATATTTTTCACTCGGATGAGTCGAAATATTAATACAATTATTAAAATTATTATTGAAAGATAAGAATACGTAGACTACATACATACATTTGCCTTATCAATATAAAGATTCAGCTCAATTATTATCAATCCTTAATTTAACACACTTGTCATTTTGTCGTTGAACTATGTCTAGACGCCGGTTATTAAGATAATACAATTTTTTTTTTTTTTTTTTTTTCATTTCAATTACAATATTTTATAATTTAATTGAAAATGGAAGTGTCCGATTGTAAATAAAGAAAAATTTGCAATTAATAGACTCGACGATTAAAGCTTATTTGCGTATTGGGTATCAAACGCAAAATAATCCTTCAAAATTAGTGCATTGACCAACCAAAGCAACCAAAAATACCTTCCACATCTGTCGATATCTAAAGTATCTTTTGATCTTTTGATAATTAATCACATTAAATATACAGTAAATCGCATTTAATGCTGGATTCGAAAAATTTTCATGTTTTATCTGTTGACAGAATGATAGCAATTATATAACTGTTTATTCTCCAAGAAACAATATAATTTATAAAGCCCATGCAAAATTTTACAAATAATCTTTGATATTCTTAGATCTCTTTGGACGCATATGGTACATTGTTAAATAATCATTGTCAAGACAAATGTATACCTTACACAGGTAGAAACGGTAACGCTGCTACCCCGAAGAAGATAAAATCCCCAGTATTCCTTCATGTCGTCTTCGAGTACGAGATATCTCATCATTGTTACAGGAATGACTTCTCTGTTTATATTGGGTGTGCCATTCATTAAGTAGGCATTGAAGGTGGCGTTGGTCTTAATTATTTGGCGCTGCAGTTTAAACATTTTTTTTTTTGTTTTTTTTTTTTATTTTTCATATTAATCTCGTAGTTGATTCGATTATTGAGAAACTTTTACTTCCTACATACAAAAATGCCTTATTTTTGCTAAATAAATGGTAAATATTCCAATAGATATGATAAAAGAAGTGCTTTATTTTCATCATTCTCGAATGATGAATTAACATTAATAATATTGTTAAATTTATTTATTAAAATGAGTGTACGAGAGAGAAAAGGGTTATGCTTTATTAAGCATATATATATATATATATATATATATATACGTTTTTGTGTTAATGACAAAAAAGATATTCTTTAAAGTCTATGCAAAGATAATTATTAAACGATATTTTCCTCCTATTTATAGTAATATTTCTTGACTTTTCATTAAATTTTTTGCTAAATGATACACGACGAATCCACTGAACTGAATATAATTTCAAATTTAAATAATTATTATGAACATTCCTTTTTCTTATTCAAATAGTTTCTCATTTATTATTGAATTTGAGCAATAAATAGAAAAATTGTAATTTTTCTGAATGTTAAAAAAATCATTATAATTATTTTCTCTACAATTATTATCAGCATAAATTATTTAAAAAATTTATATTTATATATATAATCGAACTCGTTATTTTCGTTATGTTTTAATACATTAACTTTATTAATGCAAAATAGTTCTAAAGTATCAATTATTTATAAATTATTTACTAGATTATTGTAATATATAAAGAAGATAGTATTTACAGAAGATAAAAAGGAATTTACTATCGCACATTCAATCGCTGTTATCAAGCTCAAGTATCTTCCATGCATTGATGATCCCTACCGAGCACATAATTATCGTCATAAACAAATTCGAATAATTTTTATATTAAATTTTAAAATTGATAATTTATGATATTTTCGAAGAAATTATTCCTTTCCCTCTTATAGATCAATCGAAATAATAAATAATAAACTTTTTTTTTTTTTTTTTTTTTTTTTTTTTTAATCATTAATTAACAATTAATAATTAATATTCATTTTGAGAGTTAAAAAATACTCTTAGTTTATGAATATTGAGAGTAATTTGTGTTTACGGATTAAATTTTATTTATTTCAGTGAACATTGCGATATCCTAAATTTTTATATATCCATTTAATCTAACAGATTTACGATCATAAAATAATCATCGTTTAAATAAATTAATAAGAAATTCAATAAAATAGAATCAAAGATATCAAAGCCAAATAATGTATGATATTTATAAATTTTTTTTACGAAGTTTGAAAATTAAGTAGTTTTTAAACTAAAGACTTTATTATTTTTTTTTTTTTACTACTATAAATTAAAATAAAATTCTTATAGTAGCCAACAAATAACAATTTTGTTATAAATAAAGCTATAAGTGCCTAGAGATTCGTTATGAATTTTTGTTTGGCTATTAAGCATTATTAATTAGTACGGTGTACTAATTACAGTAACACGTGTACTCTACCCCTTTCGTCTTACAGTAATGTTGCTCGAGCGATGGGAAGTACTAAAGCGAAATATTATAGCCGTTTATTAATAATGCATTATCGCTTATAATGAATAATCGCACAAATTTATAAATAAAATTAATCGATCGAAACTTGCAAGTCAATCGCCAATTAGAGCTAAAACCAGAATTTAATTTACAAATCAATAATGTACAAATAATGTACAAGTTGACGTTAACATTATTGCGTAAGAGCTTGGAGCAACATAAAAGGCAAAATCACTCTAAAATAAAATCTAATGAGTCAAGAGGTTACTGCACCTGGCACCAAGTGGTCGATATCTTGCCGTCGATAAGTCGCTGATCCGAGACCGCCAAGGGGTAGAGCTGCTCGGAGAAGACACGATACCTAAGGTACACCGGGCCCGCGACGAACAACGTCGGTAGGAGAACCCCAAGGAAGCAGAGGCGTAGCATCCGCAGTGGGACTTTGCAACCGACGCGTTTTCCTTGCCAGTTCCTTGGACGGATGCCATCGTCTGTCAGAGAAATGCATTATTACAGTCTGGGCGTTTCGTATTGGAAGGATGTTTAATGGCTTTGCCCATTAATCATTATGCTAAGGAGCGGAAGTCGTATGCAACTAATCATTTCAAAACGCGCGTAAGTCCTTTTTAAGTTTACGTAACACTTTTAAGACCATTCTAAATCTCCATGCGAATTAATTGCCAACATGAACGAATTCTATGATGTGCTTTAAATTAACGATTTATAACACTGCTGTGCAAGTTATAAAGTTATAAAGTTATAAAGTTTGTAAAGCAAATGTATAATACAGTACAGTGCAGCTGCCGAGTCTTATATATCATCTAATGATAAATTATCTGTAGATAAAAGGATGGTATTTAATAATATAGGCGATACGTTAACATTATAAAATCAGAATATTTAAGGACAAGTGACAATATCATAAGAATGTTATTTCAATAAATGAAATCGTATTCCCAAGGAAATGAAAGCTATCCTTACTCTCCACCAATGCGGTTAGATATCGAAATAGTATTTCCTATACAAAAACAAAACGAAAAGCTAATTTATCTATATTTTAAAATATTTTACTTAAAGTAATTTAATAACTTATTGTCTTTCGAAACTCAATGCATACATTGTCATCCAAAAAAAAGGAAAAATAGAAATAAGAAAATAACTGTAATGTTTAACTCATCATTCTCATTTTTTTTTTCAGTTTATTCGCTGTAATTAGTTTAGATTATTAATTGAAAATATAGATTTATCGAACTCTTGCTTATTGGTTCATAAAAAAATATTACTTATAAATACTTGTATTAGTATTCACTTTTTCACATAAATATATGTTAAATAAATTCATAATTCAATTTAATAAGTAGAAATTAAAATTTAAAATCTTTTGAAAAAATAAAGCTTTGTTAAAAAAATTTATTCATTGCAGTTGAACAATAGATATTCACAATTCTTTACAACAACTCGGCCGAATGTATCAAATAAATCATGTTTTTGTTAATGCCTTTGGCATACCTTTATAATCCAATTATATCAAAAACATTGAGATTACTTGAGATAATTTAAAATAAAAGTAAATAATTAAGAAGAATGAATAATTACAAATTAAGAAAAACATGGCAAATGAATTGCTAACCAAAATCATTAATGATATTTCAGGTATATAAGGTATTTAATCATTGCAGTTATAAACTTTGCTTTTATAATATAACATTAAAGTCTTCTTTTCTTATTCTTTTTTTTTTATCAATGTAGCATAATTTTATGATACAAGATAAAATAAGCCGCATGTGACGCAAAATTCTCTTGACATTTCTCTTTGCAAGCTTAAATATCATTATATTTGGCAATTAGCTTTATTGGATCCAATAACACAAAACAACGGAAATTTCCACAAAAATGGCATATTGTTTATCAATCGAATTTTTATATAAACACGTATTTTTATATAAATAATAATTGGATAGAATACATTAATTTGTGAAAAATTGAATGAAATAGTAATTTGAAGATCTATCATTCGCAAATTTGCAAGTTTTATAAGAATGATTTATTAGGTAAAAAAAAATACTTTAATTTTTTATATATTTCATAAAGATAATTAATTTTGAAGTTTAATAAATATTTTATGCAGTACAGAAAGTGGAAATTTGATCGCATCTACCTCTTTCCGCAACTTTGTATAATTTATTATCATCATAACGAACAATTATCGAATAGAAATTTATAATTTGTACCATTTATGTACATACAGCAAGTTATATATAATTTTACATAAAACATATGTACTTACTTTCCTAACTGCAGTTTATAGTTTATATACTAATATTTTAGATGTCTGGGCTGAAATTTAGTCGCTAATAATAAAGTAATAAAATGCAAAATTAAATTTATACTGCATTAGAAAATCTTTTATTCCCTTTAACTCATTCCTGCACACTTTATAAAAGTAATACATATAATAAATTAAATAATTTCAAAAATATAATTAAAACATAATATCTAATATTATTTCTTATTTATTTATTTTTCGGTCGATCGACTTTTATTATTGCTCAAAGGTATTTTTTTTTTTTTTTTTTTTAATGAAATAGTACACTAGTAAAATTATATATTAATTATTATTGTATAGAGTATTATGTAAAATATTGCAGGGGTTTTGTCTTCCATATATCCATCTCTTATATAATTTAATATGTAAAAATTTTCCAAATAATATCCAAATACTTTAATTGTGTATCGGTTGAAAATGTAATATATCATAATCATTATAAGAGTATAATTTGAAAATAAATCGCGTCGAACAAAATCATTTAGCACTTATCAGATTTTCACCTATGCTATTTTCCTTATCAAATGATTAGAAATTAGACGATGTGATATTAAATAGTAGTAACTAATGATTTATATTTCCGTAATATTTTTTTCATTAAACTCTTTTTTCCATTGCAAAGTTTATTTCGGAAAATTGCTTTACGAAAAAATTGTAAATTTAATATTAAAAAAGAAATATTCACATAATAATAATAATAATAATAATAATATATTTATGTATATTATCAATTTATTTGATGAAATTTGTTATTAAAGCTATAAAACAATAAAATTTATTTAATGATTGTTCAAAGATAAAATGTAGAATACATTGCAATAACAGTAATAATAGTTAATCAGTCAGTTAACAAAATAGTAATACTAAATATATACAAAGAATATCATTTTGTAATAATAATATTAATGACAATTTTTATTTATTAGTAAAAACTTTTTATTAAAAAGATTACGATTGATGCATCCATAAACTATTTACTAATTGAAATGTATTATAAATCTTTATTTTGATAATTATTAATTATTAATCGAAATCAAAATTCAAATAAATAATTCGTGTTCAATTCATATTCATTATTGTTAATTAAATATATTTTTTTCTATTCTTCATAAACATGAAATTCCATTCATTTGATTAATATGTTTTTTATTAAAATATAATATCAACATTTATTTAATATCTTACGGACACAATTAATGATCCAATGCATTTTAATAATAAATACTTGAACATTTTGCAAGATTAATTATTTCCTAAAAGTAAAAATGAGAAAATTTAATAAATATACATAAAAATTAAGTCTCGAATGAACATATAAATTTATAATTTTATTCCTTAATAGACATTAATAATTTTAATATTAATATTAAATAAATTACAGAATTTATGATAATCGGTATGTTCGGTATGTTCGGTTCTAACATTGTCGAATTATCAAAGAGAAATATGTATGTCAAAATATATAAATCTTCGACATATAGAAAACAGTGTTTTGTGATAAATTTATTTTATCCGCAACCTCACTTTGTACGTGTAAATTTCATTTGATTAGTAAATCTCTAAATCGAGATGCAGACTAAATCGATTGTCTTATTTTACTTTCCTTCAGCAATAATTAAGCATAGAACGGATATTCTTAATATCCGTTATTTCATTACGACTTATTATTAGCACATTTATTATTGGTAGTTTAAATTAATTATTACATTAATTATACAAAACAAAACAAAAAAAATATATATTTAGTGGTTTACTATTGGTGGTATTCGTCGAGATAGACCTTAATAGTTTTGTTTTTATTTTAAATATAATTCCAACATTGAATATATATATATATATATATATATATATATATATTATTAAACTAACTGAAAATATATTGATTTTGTCATATTTGTTAATTTTTTTAATACATGCATTTTTTTATGTTGATTTATTTATGTTAATGTACATACATTATAGTGAATTGACAATTGACAGTAATGAACAAGAGCACAGCTTATTACACCTGTATTTATTAATATTATGAAATTTATGAAAAAAATGTACTTCCATCAATTAAAATTACAACACTTTTTTGATAAACGTTGATTAACTATTAACAAATATTTGTAATTCATCCTATTATATAACACTACAACAAGGACTATTTCTACATATAATTTTTTTATATATTCTTTTCGCCGCTAATAATAATTACAAAGATTTATTTCTATTTTCTACTCTCAAATATATTTTAATGATAATCAATTTTCTATTGTTGATATCAAGAAAATCATATCATCTATTTCATATTAAATAATGTAAGTTATCTTGATATTATATATATATATATATATATATAAATGAAAATAATTTCAAATAGCTGATACAATTTTATATAACAAGTATAGTATATCGGAATCTTTACTACATTAAAACTAAATTGTATACTTATAAAATAATCTGTTTTATTTAAGTTATATCACGTAGTATAAAGCCGATCGAATCAATATTCTAGATATGTTTTTCATTTCTATCAAATAATTTAGATTTATAATTGCAATATTTTTAATTTACATTATGTAATATTACTACTTATAGTAAATAAATCGATATGCTAATGTAACCAATACTACATAAAAAAAAAAAAAAAAACACACATTGTATAGTTGGAACTTAAAGTTAAAAAATATATTTAATGATCAGATAGAATAAATAAAGTAATAGAAAAAATCTACATTGTTTTTGTATGGATGTAAGAAGCTAAAGAAAAATAAGCAAAGTTGTA